ATATGCATTTCTCTTGTTTTGAGTAACCTACATTTAGGTGAGTGAAACTAACCAAGGTTCTAGTTTTTGTGTATTTGTTAGCTTCCAAGGAAGTGCAAGTCTCCCTGACTGTGTCTCGCCTCCAACGAAAACCTCTGATTTCATATCCAACCTAAGATACCGCTTTTTTTTGATGCTCTGAATCCTTCAATATCCTGCACTCCCACACATGTTTCGTATAGCTCAGGGGTGCCCGAGGGAGCGACATTGGTCAACTTCGTATCTCCAGTGATAAACACCATGCCTGAAAAATGAGCCATGCTTACTAAATATTTAATTAATGACAAAGTCATGTATAAATGAGAAAATTAGTATTTTTGGTTTGAGTTCTTACAGATTAAAACCTATGGTTTTATTCATACCCTTGTTTTTTGTTTTTCGAGACAGGGTTTCTCTGTGTAGCTTTGGAGCCTATCCTGGCACTTGCTCTGGAGACCAGGCTGGCCTCGAACTCACAAAGATCTGCCTGCCTCTGCCTCCCGAGAGCTGGGATTAAAGGCGTGTGCCACCAACGCCCAGCTTACGAGGCGTTGTTATTACTCCATTAGTTTCTCAAATGAAATGGTTATTACAATGTGGCAAATATAGCATTTCAGCCTTTTAAAAGCACTTTTTATGATACTTCTTGCATCTATGATAAAAATATCTCTAACCTCCACAGTTCTGTCATTACAGAATACTCTTTTTTTTTTCTGCTTTTGTTTTGTGTTGTAGTATTGAAGATTGAACCCAGGGCCTCATGCACTCTACTATTGAGCTTTCTGTGGGATAATGTTAGCTCTTGTTCACTGTAAAGATTTATTACTCATATTGGTTTAATAAAACACTGATTGGCCAATAGGCAGGCAGGAAAGTATAGGCAGGGGTATCAGAGTTGGAGAATTCTGGGAAGAGGAAGACACAGAGACACAGTTGCCATCCAGACACAGAGGAAGCAAGATGAGAATGCCTTACTGAGAAAAGGTACCAAGCCATGTGGCTAAACATAGATAAGAATTATGGGTTAATTTAAATTGTATGAGTTTGTTAGTAACAAGCCTGAACAATAGACCAGTTTATAATTAATATAAGCCTCTGTGTGTTTATTTGGAACTGAACGGCTGAAGGGTGGGCAGGACAGAATCTTCCGTCTACAGCTTTCAAATTGTTCTGATGTTTAAAGTCTAAATCTGTGATGGACAAATTCAGTGGTAATAGAAGGCTGCCTTTTAGCATTGGTTCTACAACTCAAGTTGATGCATATTTGCTCTTGGCCAGATAAAATATGCCTATAACTCTATGTAGTTATAAAAGCTAGTGTGCGGTTAGTTTTAAAATGTTTTGGGGGCCATTGAAATGGCTCAGCTGGTAAAACGCTTGCTACCTTAGCCTGACAGCCTGAGTTCAATCCCCAGAATCCACGTAAGAGGTGGAAGAAGAACTGATCTTACAGACCTTTCCTCTGCTCTTGCATTCATGGTAATAATAAATGAATACAGTTGCAATGTTTTTATTTGAAAGCTCATAAAATGCCATTTTGGGACTAAATATCAAATATTTCTTAAGTTATAAAGTCAATGGTGAGAAATGTTTGCATAGTGAACAAAAGAAAATACAAAGTACTTATTAGAAATGATGAAGTTAGAAATTGCAGCAATGAGAATCTATTACTAAATTATTTCATTTGTTATTTTAAATGCTGTTTTAGTGAGGCTAGATTTCTGAGGAAGCAGGGATGTGAAAATGAAATAGAACAGTAATTGTTAATATGAAGAATTAGAATAACAAGTGATGATGAACAGAAATTCATTTTTAGGAAAAAGAATATGAGATTACATTCAGCAATGGAGATAGCCAATGTTTCCCAGAGAGAATTATAAATGTGTTGTTTTTACTTAGTGTATCAGGCAGCTGTGAAGTGATTAAAAAACGAAGACTTTGTATAAACATAGTAAAAAGTTGAGTGAAAATGCTGTATAAAGCAAAAAGCTTAATAAAATGTTTAGTGTTGTAGGGGCTGGAGAGATAGCTCAGCCGTTAGGAACACTGGCTGCTCTTCCAGAGGACCCAGGTTCAATAACCAGCACCCACATGGCAACTCACAACTGTCTGTAACACCCTCACACAGACAGATATACATGTAGGCAAAACACCAATGCACATAAAATAAAAATAAACTATTATTTTGTATTTGCTTCATACTGCTATATTACTTGAAAGAGGAGGACACTCTTAGTACCCCCTTCAGGTAATTGTGGCTGCGTCTGGAAAACCCCATTGTACTCTCAGAGAGAACAAGCCTGAAAGACAAGGATATTCTAAGGATGAAGATGATTTTGCCCTGTGGAACTCGGTGAAAATAAATGCTTAAGCACCTCTCAGGGGTGTCCTGGCCATGCTTTGAGAGCCACTTTCTGACCCTTGAGAGGCAAAACAAACCCAGAACTATTAAGTCTGCCCCTCATCTCGGGCCTGGTGCGAGGCAGAGCAGAGCACTGTGACTGCACTCTTGGTTCATTCCTCTGGCTTTTCGGGAACTTTTAGGACCTGGGGGAAAATGGAGAACTGTGTGTATCTATGAGGGTCTGCTAGATGTCAACAATACACATTTGGTCTTGACAATTAAAAATATGGTGACTCAAAACTTCTGGGAAACTAGCATTACTATTATGAGCAGGTTTGTAAAAATGTGATAGTTAACAAAAATATAAAGATATAGAAATTGTAAGCATTAAATTTGCAATAGAGGATAAGATATATTTTAAGTTTTGTTAGTTCTACCTAGGATTCAGGGATTAAAAGCTGCCAAGCTTGTGTGGTAAGTAGCTTTACCAACTGAGCCATTTAGATATCACCCTCGTCCGGTGACAGGGTCTTTCTATGTGGACCAGGCTGGCCATGAACTCCCTAAGGCTGGGATTGCAGACATGCATCACAGTGACTGCTGCAGTTAACTGAAACATGCTTTGGGCTTAATTTTGGCTTTTTTTTTTTATCTGTCCCTCTACTCCCAGCCACATTGGGGGCTTTTTGCTTTTCAGTATTGTTTGCTCATTCCTCCCAGATTCTACCCAGGTCTCAGAAACAGCAGGAACTTATGTGCCTTAAAGAAAGAGTGTGCATTGGATAACGTTTTTATGGATTTCTGATCAGGCTTCTCTCTTTACTGGTCAGCAGTGTGCAGTGCTGTGGAGATGCTGGGGGAATGATGCACTTGCTCACCTCTGCTTTTTCTCTCCCACCTTGATTCCCCAAGCCTGTCTTTCCTTCAGTACAAGCTGTTTTTTTCTAGGTTCTTACTACATTTCTCTCCCACTTGGCCTCTACTTATTCTTCCTTTTCTATTTATCTTCTAGTTTCTTCTTCAGAGATATGCTTAGACGTGCAGTTAATGTATTCTGGAGTCAGGATTGTCACAGTTGCCAAAAGACCAAGGAGTGAATGTGTGCTTTTGTATTTGGTAGGACAAGAGTATTGTGGCCAGATACTGTGTGGACAGCCCTGCCTCCTCTGTCTTAACCTCCCTGGTGTCATTACTTCTTGCTTAGGAAAAGGTATTTTGCAGCTTACAAGAAGTAAAAATAAAATTTATTAATTGGGAATATTGCTCCAAATTTGTTCTATCTGCATCATCTATAATTGTACTTTTGTCTCTAGACTGCTTTCTGATTGTGTGGAGCATAATAGTATCTATGTTGCACATAGTGGCAGCTGTCTTTGGAAGAGAAAAATACGATTTAGTGGGAGGAGTGCAAATATATGTGTCTTACCTTGCTTTATTATTTATTTCAACAATTACTTGTTATTTATTTTAAATTGATTTTTATTTTTATGTTTATGGCTATATGGCTATATGTATTCGAAGCCATCTGTCCAGCTACTCAACAGTTATTTATTAAATGCCAGCTGTGTGCCAGACACTACTGAGAATGCTGGAAATATGGCTCTTCACCAGGCATCCTTAGTTTCTGTTGTCGTCGATGTTTTATGAGCAGGAGTGTAATATCTGTCTCCTTCACAGGACAGCAGAAATGGTGATTAACATGACCAGCCATTTAAGTGCTTCACTCCTTCTTCTTATCTGTCAAAGGAGGAGGAGGCCAAGACATTTAACAGCTAACTTTAGAGGCAGAATCAGGCTTGCAGAGATGCATTTTCAATAGAAGTAGTATGTGTATATTAAAATGTGTGTAACCGTGAGTGTAATAATATAAAATATTAAGTCATATATATATATGTATATATATATATACACATATATAAATAAAGTCTTACATGCAGTTCATTTCAGCTTGGTTGGGAGAATCTTAAATTAGTCTAGAAGTTTAAAGACATGTGCATGTAACATAAATAATTATAAACCCAGAGACAGATATTGGGGTTCAAGCTTCAAGCTGAAGATCAGAAAAGCAAAGCAACCAAACCAGTAGATCTTACTCTACCTCATCTAAAATGAATGATCCCGTCTACACAAATCCTCAGAGTACAAAGCAGACTGCACTGCTCTCCACCAAGCCTCAGACTGCACTCTATTTCTCAGATTCACTCAGACTGCTATGCTCTCCTCAACATGGCTGGAGATTAATTCTCACATGAGAACCTTTGCTTCTTACTTTTATACCTCTCAAATCCTGGGATTAAAGGCATGGGATCCCAAGTGTTGATTTCACCTCTGTGTGAGCTGTTTCTCTTTTAGACTGTATCAATTTTGTGTAGCTCAGTGTGGCCTTGAACTAACAGAGATCCATCTGCCTCTGACTCCTGAGTCCTGGGATTAAAGGTGTGTACCACCACTGCCTGGCCTCTATGGCTATCTAATATGGCTGCTGGGATTAAAGGTGTGTAATACCACTGCTTGACTCTGTGGCTGTGGCTAGCTTTGCATTTTGCTCTCCAGTGGCTTTATTAACTCATAAATAATTTATTAATTTATCCTCACAGTGGCAAGGTATCAAGTGTGTTTGTTTTTCTTCTCTTCACAGAAGAAGATAATGCTGAATATGTTTTTAGACACCATGATGGCCGATCCTCCTCCCCAGTGCCTTGTCTGGCTACCTCTCATGCACAGGCTTGCCCATGTGGAGAACGGTGAGCATGGCTTGACCTTTCGTCCCTTACGTTGTAGGGAGGAGGACACTGGCTGCAGTGTCCTTAGTTATTATTGTGAAAAATTGAAATTGATGTTTGTTGGTACACCATCATTTGAAGTTGTGGCTTTTGTTTTAAGAAGAATATTTCAGCACAAAAGCAGGTCTCCTGTCGCTTACATAGGATTCTGAGAAATAATAAAACCTAGTTGGTATGGACACATTTTATTTTTCACCCCAAGATTGCTTGCATTTATTGCTTACATTTATCTGATGTAGTCAGGAACCCCCACCCCCCATTTTAACTCATCAGAATTGCAGCTTTAGAGAATTGGAGCTCTGTAATATTAGCCACTAAAACTCTAGTTGATTTTGAATCATTAAAACTTAGTTCTGGTCCTCCTATCCCCTCCCCCTTCCTTCCTTCCTTCCTTCCTTCCTTCCTTCCTTCCTTCCTTCCTTCCTTCCTTCCTTCCTTCCTTTCTTCCTTCTTTCCTTCCTTCCTTCCTTCCTTTTCCCCTCCTTCCCTCCCTCCCTCCTTCCCTTTCTTTCTCTCTCTCTCTCTTTTTTCCTATCTACCTACCTACTTATTTTTGTGTGTGCAGTATATGTGTGTACACTTAGTGTGTGTGCATGTGAAGGATATTGGTTGTCTTTCATTTATCTTTGAGACAGACTCCCAGTGAACCCAGAACTTACCAGTTGGCCGGATTGCCTGTCCTGAGACCTGCTTTTCTCCACCGAGCTCCCACCAGGCTAGGGTTACAGACTTGTTCACTCACACCCAGCTTTTCTATAAGTTCTGGGATCTGAAATCGGGTCCTTATGCTTGTGGGGCAGGCACTTTACTCACTGAGCCATCTTCCCAGGCCCTTCTTTATCATCTAACCTCTAATGTACCCTTGAGGTACTTCCTAGTAGTGTGATTTCCCAGTTAAGTAGAGGTTTTCACTTTGAATCGAATTGGTGCTAACTTCTTAGAACCCTCTTAGTGATTTTCCGTATTTAGGTTGAGGGGATGTGTTCAAGGGAAGGCTGTCATTTTCCCATGCAGCCTCCCTTTTTTTCCATGCTGTTGTCTGGCTCCCTGTGTTCCACAGGATAGAACAAGGCAGAGCCGAGAGGTTGCTGAAAAGCAGAATCCTCCTCTTTTTCTCACATGCCTTTTAGTGTCTATCCAGCTTTTTTCTTGTTTTAAATATCTATACTACCTTTTGCTCAAGTCTGGTTACTTCATAAGCATCTCAGTTTCTAGATAATTTTTCTAAAGGATTAGACTCTTCTTTTGTTTGTTTGTTTTGTTTTTCCGAGACAGGGTTTCTCTATGTAGCTTTGGAGCCTATCCTGGCACTCGCTCTGGAGACCAGGCTGGCCTTGAACTCACAGAGATCTGTCTGCCTCTGCCTCCCGAGTGCTGGGATTAAAGGCATGCGTCAACCAACGCCTATCAGACTAGACTCTTAAAGTGGCTAAATTCTTAGTAGGATGTATTTTCTAAATAGTCATGTAAGTAGTTAAGTTGCTAAGCTGTTCTTTTTTTTTTTATAGTGATGCTTTTATGTTCTTAAGTGTTTTAATAGTTTCGTGTTTAATTAATTTTTATAAACTATCTTGTATCTACTATGAGGAGTAGAAAGACCCTCATTTGTCATGATATGCTATTAGCCAGAGGAATATTTTACTATAACTTTGTATGGAATATGTTGCTTATTGATCATGTTCTTTCTTGTTTGTCTTTTGCTTTTGTTTTTCCAGGTAGGGTTTTCTGTGTTGCTTTGGAGGTTGTCCTGGCCCTTGCACTGAAGACCAGGCTGACCTCAAACTCCGCTTGCCTCTGCCTCCCAAGCGCTGGGATTAAAGGCATGCGCCACCACTGCCCCCATTGATCATGTTCTTATAAAATTAGTGATATTTCTTCTCAGAGACAGAGAAATGGTATCAAATCTTTGAAATGTCTAGAAATAAAACCGTTTATCTATCATAATGACATTTGTCTATATATCTACTTATTATAGTGGCAAACAAATCCTAAAATTATGATTGGTCTGACTTGGCACGGGGCTTGTTTGGTTTGGGTCCTTCCTAGGTTTTGGAATTTAAAAGGACAAATACTAAGTTGGGTATGGTGGCACATACCTGTAATCTCTCTGTACTTGAGAGAGAGACAAAAGAGTGTCAGAAATTGGCTGTCATCATTGGCTATATATTGTTTTCATAACCATCCTGGAAGACATAAGACCTGTTTAAGAAACAAAACAAAGGAACAAGCCAAACAAATAAGTGGACATAGTTTTATTTTTTAAAACTGAAGTTGTAGTTTTCATGTTGGCTTATAATTCCAGATGTGTACACAGAAGGCAACTGGTGTATGTTGCACTTAACAAAAGCAACACTTTCAGCAATCTCTGAATCTGTAGCAACAGACCCACTCACTTGTTGGTCTGCCTGGGCTAGCTCTCACTGCCCCTTCAGCTCACCCTCCCACTGTGTGAGCAATGGCTCTTCACATGCCCAGAAGAGCATAGAAGAAAGTCACAAAGACATATGTTCTGTCAAAATTGCCAGAGTAAATTTGAAAATTCATATTAATATACTGTGACATTTAATATTAACCTAAAACTTTTACAAACATTGACCATCTGACGTTGTAGCTGTGCTAGCTGATGGCTTTACTTCTGAGCACACACTATTGCTAGCACTTCTATTATTTCTTACAAATATAATGTCAGAAGTCAGACAGTTTAGATAGAGTTTGTAGTTCTGTCTGTTTGAACCTTTATTGTTACATTAGATTTTGTTTTCTTCAGTGTTGATTCTGGTTTTCAATTGATATTATTTTGTCCCCTGCTCCCTCTTCTTTCTGTTCACCAGTCTTCCATCCTGTGGAGTGCTCCTACTGTCACTGTGAGAGCATGATGGGCTTCCGATACCGATGCCAGCAGTGCCACAATTATCAGCTCTGCCAGAACTGCTTTTGGCGTGGCCATGCCAGTGGCACTCACAGCAACCAGCACCAGATGAAGGAACATTCCTCTTGGGTAACTAACTGTGTGTCTCTGATTGTGTCCTCTCAACTATTTACTTGGCCCATGTGTAACAGTAACTGTACTTGGTCTAGTGTCCTGCAGGTGCCCTGCCCAGTAAGAATGTTGTGTCCTGACATCTTAATGTCAGCATGGATGCTGGGGTTGCAGTTGTGTTTATTCCTCACAGGATTTTAAAAGCAGACTTTTAAAGTGTTCTGGGAGGTACAAGTGTTAACTGCATTTAAAATGGTTCTTTGCAAAGTAAAAAAGTAAATTTCTTCTGATTTGAAAAATTGTACAAAGGGGATCTCCAAAATGTTTATTCCCTAGAGCCTTCAGTTGGGTTTAAAGCCCCTTCTTCATGGTAGTTTTCTTCACAGGTTGATTGTGTTTATATGCTGCAGAAAAAGAAAAAAAGGCATGTAGTACAGGAGTTATACATGTGTATCTTTTAGGTTGGAGAAAGACTGTATTTTCTTTTTATTTGTTTTTGTTTTTTTTTGGGGGGGAGTTCTTTGTGGCTTTGGAGGCTGTCCTGGAACTAGCTGTTTTGTAGACCAGGCTGGTCTTGAACTCACAGAGATCCGCCTGCCTCTGCCTCCCAAGTGCTGGGATTAAAGGTGTGAGCCACCACCACTGCCCAGTGAAAGATTGTATTTTAAAACCATTGCCACATTTCTATTCTTACCTTCAAAGTAGTTTTCAAATAGTACTTGGGTGATGGCCAACCATGGTGGTGTACACCTTTAACCCCAGTACTGAGTGGTCAGAAGCAGACGGAGCTCTGTGAGTTACTGCGTGCACTACGTAGTGAGATCCTGTCTTGAAACAAACTAAATAAAATCAAATAAGACAAAAAACCCCAACATTCGGGTTGAGATTGATATCTATTCTTCTTGGAGTGTTTCTAAATCGTGTAATATGAATCTCATTAAGTATTTTTCTTCACATCTTTTGATTTATTTCTAGTTCTTGTTGGCTGATTGCTTTACTGAATGGTAGAAGGTCATGCAGGTCCTGAATTATGGTTCAAGACCTAAGGGTCTCACCCTAGTACGTACTGGACTGCAGAGATTAAAAGACCTTAATAACTGGGTTTCCGAGCTCATTTATTTTTCCTAGAATTCAACCAAAAATATTAAATAAATCAACACCAGGAAATAGTTAAAGAAAGGAAAGAAAAGGAAATACCAAGTGTCAACCCCTCTGCACACTTGACTGTATTGTCAGAATCTGTGATGGTGTGTTAGAAACACAATTGTATTGGCTTGAGTATCAGTTAAAGCTAATTACAAAACCTTGTTTCACTGAACATCCTATTGTTCGTCTGTGCATTCCAGTACTATGTTTTTGGTTTAATGTCATTTTTTGAATCTTTTTTTAAAGTAGACCCCCCCCCCGGTAATTTTTAAAAATTATTATCATTTCTTTTCCTTTTCCTGTGTGAAGCACTATAGCCCTCTATACTAATTGGTTGTTCAGTGTATCCCCTGTAGTTCTTAGTTTAGAGCCCTGCCGGAACTGAGATGGGTTCTGCTCAGTTACTTTTCATGGTGATTTGGTTTGCTGGTATGCTTCTGGTACCCAGTTTATAACCTTTTCAAAAGTAAGGAGTTTGCATTTATTTAAAGACCAGTAACTGAGTACCGCTTTATGGTTTGCAAAAGAACTTTTCATATATGCTTGAATTTTTTTCTTTGAATTATAGCATACATACAGAAAAAGTACAAGCCACACATGGTGATTTATGCCTGTAATACCAGTACTTGGAAGACTGAGGCAGGAGGATTACCATGAGTTCAGGCTAGCCTGTGTTAAGGCCTTATCCTCCAAAACCAACCAACCAAACAAACAAACAAGGTGCAGAATCCATAAGTGAATTTAATCTTCTCAATACTGTGAAGATTTTCTTTCTAAATATTTCTCATTTTTTATTTAATCTTTTCTGCCTTTTTGGTTTTTCGAGACAGGGTTTCTCTGTGTAGCTTTGGAGCCTATCTTGGCACTCGCTCTGGAGACCAGGCTGGCCTCGAACTCACAGAGATCTGCCTGCTTCTGCCTCCTGTGTGCTGGGATTAAAGGCGTGCACTAGAATACCTTTATTTTTTATAGTAACTTATGTTTTCAAACATCTAGTATTATCAGCTTATATAATTTTGAGTCTGATACCACAAATAGGTCAGTTTTGAATTTTGATGGGTTGCATGCCTAGGAGTGGTACATGTGTACTGGCAGTTAGTATATGTGTCTATATGGTCTTTTTGTTATTGTTGTTTTTTGTTTTTCAAGACAGGGTTTCTTTGTGTAGCTTGTTCTCCAAATTAAGAGTATGTGTAACAACTGGGTCCTTTGAGGAGGATGTCAGTTAATTTTAAGGTTGGGTAAAGGAATTTCCATTTAATAAAAAAAAGATGCATAATTATTCTTTCAGTGGAAATGAGATTGAACCTAGGACCTTCCTTATACGTGCAAGGCAGGGGCTCTACTACCGAGCCATATCCCAACCACTGCTGTTAGTTTAATACTAAGTTCTTTGAATGTTTTCCACTGTGTCTGTACCAGTATTTGAAAGAAATGCTTCTATGTTTGCACAGCAGATTTTAGTTTGTTTGATTGGTTTGTCAAAGAAGTTATACTGTAGATTTGATATATGTATGACTCAGTGTTTGTAAGATTATTTTTATTTTCCCAAAGCCCCTGTTTAATGTTTCATCTAAGTAAAGAAATAGCAATTCAACATTTCAGACCTCAGTCTATTTAGTTTGCTTTCATTCCCCAGAAGAGTGATATATGGGACTATACCCAATATTCCTCCTGCCCAAGCATCGTTTGTTCATTCAAAAGGTATTTAAACACTTATATATGTAGTCAGCACAGTGATAATCCATGAACAGACCAGTCCAAGATGGCTGACCTCTTGAAAATGTTTTAGAATATGAGCAGAATTGCTAGGGCTTGCTACTGTCTCCCTTTTCCTAATCCCAATGGGCATTTAGACTGCTTTCACACCTCCATCTCCAGCTTGATATGGGTGGATCTGTGTGAATAGTGGAATGTGGATCGATGTGTGTCTTTCCCCAAGACTGTTAATGATAGAGTGTTCTGCTTACTTACTTCAGAGGACTCCATTAGGACCCAATAGAAAGCTAAACTATGAAATAAAAAGAAACTGGACCTGGCATGGATGGTGGGTAGAGAGGAGCATATACCAGCCCCTTTACCTGAGATGGGGCATGATAAGACCTGTGTTCCCATTGCAGTTGAGGCTGAGACAGGAGTAACTTAGCAAGAGCCTGTCTCAAAATGAAATTTAAAAGGGCCAGGGATATAGCTCAGTGGTGGAGAACTTGCCTGGTGTTTACAAGTGGGTAAACAGCAGTGGCGCACACCGAGAGCACACACACACACACACACAAACACACACACACACACACACACACACACACACACACACCAAAACAAACAGAAAATCCCCTTGTTTAAAATAATTAAGGTTTTCCTTTTCCCATGGTGCTTAGTACCAGGAGTGGGCCACTAATTGGCTTGACATACAGGAGTACACCAGTGAGCAGATAAGTCAGATGATGGGGTAGAAATCAAATCATCTGGTACAGTCATAACCAGATTAGTGAATTTGTACTGGAAAGTAGCCTCATACCAACTGAGCCAAGTATTGGAAAGGATCACAGTGTGACCCGTTGACAGCATAAGGTATTGCAGGAAATAGATGGGCTCTGGAAAGAATCAGCTGGTTTGTAAGCAAAGAGTAAAAGAAACTAGAGAAAGTTCAGACAACTGGGGCAGTATTAGGAGAAAGAGGCTGTTTTTAGATGTCATTGAGTAAAAGATGAGTGTATTTACAAAGCCTGGTAGACATACTCAGTTGAAAAGACAAGATTAAGGGCTGCCTATAGAGCTTCTGTTTGTAGGGCTAAGGTCTATGAAATCTGCATGAAGGTAGTTCTCCAAGTTACCGAAGTGACTCTGTTGTACAGACAAAGTCAGGACCTTGTTTCATGTGGCTAAGTTTGTTCCTGTTAGTTGAAAGTGAGAATCTTGTGAAAAATAAGTCAAGCTTGAGAGTGAAGTCCAGGAAGGAACTGTAGTTTCTGGCACACGGAACTAATAGGGAACAAATAGATCAAAGGACCATTGTGCCAGGGACTCATGTTGGCAAAGAATCCATAAGTCTGGGATGAAAAGACCTTTCATTGTTTGAGCTAGACAGTCACTTTAGAAAACCCAGAAATTGTTCTAATGCCAGTAAGGGGTAGGGATGAGTTTATTATGAAGGCTGTGTATTCTTAAAAGAGGGTGTGCCATATCACACTTGGCCACAGGGGATACTGGGTAAAGAAGAGACTGACAGCCAGGTGTGGTTGTGTAAGACTCTAATCCCAACACTGGGAGGTATAATAGTAAGTTTGAGGCCAGTCTGGTTTACATGATACCTTGTAGACAAAGAAACCAAAACCGGAAAGAATGAAAAAGACCAAGCACAAAGTTCCTGTTTCCCCCAGTGTATCTTGGGAGTGGGAGAAGTGCAGGTATTCCCCCTTTCAGGTCATCGGTAGCATTACTAGGAGATGCACACGGTTCTGAGGAAGACTGTGCCATACACACGGTCTTAGATGCACTGACTAAATGGATGGCAGACCTTCTTTCCAGTGTCTGCTATGGGGCTGGGGGTTGACTGTGTTGGGGTACTTGGTGATCATAGTGCTCACTAAACCATGCTTTTCTTTCTACCCAGGCATGTAACTCATTATGTAACTCACCTTCCCTGCAATCAGGTTCACGTGGCCAGTGTTTTCCAGTGGGTATTACATCTCAGGCAAGGTAGTTCAAAGCAGGTCTGCCACCTCCATCTTCATTGCCTTTATCCTCTCCTGCCGATACCTACCCATCGCCTGATGGAAATGTCTTTGAAGGAACTAGGTGAGGCAAGAGCCCTTGATGGAAGGTGGCTGGGTACCTGAATGGATGGAGCCCCTCTGCTAGTGTGCCGAGGA